CTTTACCTCTATCTGCGAATGTCTCTGATGATGGGCTCGAGTGAGAACCCGAAACGTCAGGCCAATAAACTTCTTGTCCCAGTGATCGCATCTTCATCTTCTGAACTGCTACCTGGGACTCGCCTGTTCGCTTCTATCAGCAGACGCAGTTTTGTCCTTTATTGAGTTATTAAAAAAGGGTTCAGACCGATCATCCCTGTCAGTGGATGTGCCCTCATGACCCGGTCGTCGCTATGCTTTCGGTCCAGCCTGCTAGCTTTATACAATGATTACGGCAAATTGACATTTTGGATGGCTGATTCGCAGTGGAAAGCCAACTGTTCGTCCAACGCTACCTTCAAGCTTGTCTCGCCGAAGAACTACGTCACATCTCACTCCCTTTGCGGGCGATTCCCCCTCCCTCAATGAGGTACATCTTCCGGAAGCCATTTCGAAATCCACACTGATCGATAGGTTATTGTTCATCAATACGCTCCGGGCGGCCTTCACTCAGAGATGGATTTGTTCTTAACACTTATTCCTCCGCCCCGGCGCGAGGAAGCCAATGCACATGACAGGAAGGGATCACAATCTTGGGCGCCAACTAACTGGCTCCTGATCGGTAATGTTTTTGACGAAATTAGCCTCAAATTTCACATATTCATGCCCGGCAAATTACCGGAATGCTGACGCAAGAGGGCAGTCTCTGATTACGCAAAAATTAGTCCGCTGATTACAAAGCTTAATCGCGAGTCTGGAACTTCAGCCTCATACCTGCTCTCACTCCATGGTTTAATCGTCTTACTATCCTCTCAAAGACAAATGACAGAAGATGCGTTGTAAGTTACGAACAGGGCCGTACAGGATAGTGGAGGGACGCTCACCGATCGACCTTTGACGGAACTCGCTCGTCCTGTTGTGCCTTAGAGCCCTCTCTCGAGCCCAACTAGCAGCTGCACAGCGGCGCATGATATAGGCAGAATGGTATTACCGACAAAGACAAGGGAGACTAGAATGGCCATTTCTGGCTTATTAGCCGTCGTCAGCCAGTTATACCCAACCCCGAAGTGTGAAACACCCGAGGCTCGAACTCGCGACCTGTGAGTTAGAAGTCCAAAGCCTCTAACCACTGAGCCATGGTTTGGTTGTCCTGTCGAGATCGAGCCCCAGGTGTTCTACACCTCGGGATTGTGTATGACTGGCTGACGACGGCTTATAAGCCAGAAATGGCCATTTCAGTCTCCATTGGCTTTGTCGATAATACCATTCTGCTTATATCATACATCGCTGTGCAGCTGCTAGTTGGGCTCGAGAGAGGGCTCTAAGGCACAACGGGACGAGCGAGTTCCGTCAAAGGCCGATCGGTGAGCGTCCCCCTACCATCGTACATGATATTGCAAAAGTAGGTAAAAGCGTTCTAGCCTTCGAACTCACCGCTAAAACGCGGCTTGGTTTAAAATGAGCTACTGCCTAATCCCTCATGCGTGTTTGCAAACTTACGAGTAAAAAGAGGAAGACTTTTGCCAATTTTATGCCTTGTTTCCAAATGAGCTGCCAGACAACCAGATTCGCATCAGGCCTAACCGACACTTGTGCACGCATGACGTATCTTTTTAAACCGATCATTTGGTTGTGCGCCAAAAACTACCGTCCCCTCCTCTTCTGAAATCTCTGAAGCTGATTTTGGAAATCCTTCAAAAAGCACATTGATTTAAATCCCCCAAAGCCAGCAGGAGTTCCGTAAAATTTTCCAACAACTTGAAAAGCCGTTTGGTGGAAATAAGGGCGCTCTTGTTTGATCAAGACCGCTTGATAATAGGTTTCATTTTTAACTTTACACTCGCATTCAGCGGATTTGCTTTATTTACATCGCAAGTTTATGCATACAGTTATTGCTCCGGTATCATTGGGATTTTCGGAAGGAAGACGAACTTTATCGATTAAAATAAATGGAAATCGCATTAAGGATACTTCTTTCAGTAAGTGGAGAAACGCAAAACGCTAGGCATTCGGTAAACCCTTTCCTCGTAAACCACTCAGGCTATTTTTATTCCAGTCACGATTAGCAGCTGTGATGTAATTTAACATTTTGTAACAAAAATAGTCTGGTATTTTTCTATATTTTTCACAGACAGTGTATCCTTTGGGATCCGTGAGTACCCAACCCGTGATTGCATGCTTCCATGGTATCCAGATGTCAAGATAGCATCTACAGTGATTAGCTGGTAGGTAGCGCCGGAGGCAAAGAGATCCAGCGCTCTCCCACGAGCGGGGTGCAGCCGTTACTTGTGCGTCAATTTGGCAGGTCAGACTTGCGATACACTCACCTCACTCGCTCTCGCGATGCCGGACGTGTTTAATTTTCCGTAGGAAGCCAAGACAACCAGAGGTGGACCCGGGTTCAGTGACTGACAAAACTAAACAGTTTGTCTATGCGTGCCATGCATCACATTGTCCTTAATTCCCCAAGTACCGGAGTTCGTTCATAGGCGTTTTGGATCTCACGAATGTAGAAGTTCACCAGAGACCCTAGGAAGAAGCAACCGTTGCAGTCTGATCCTCCCCCCTTCGGTCCTGAATAGGAGCGGACCACCGAAGGAAATTGCGGCCAGTAAAATTGCTCAGGCACAAGAATAAAATTGGAATTGCTAGCTTAATTACTGTTTTCGTCCAGTGGTGATGATCTGATACAGGTCAGTACACCCAACATCCTAAGCCCAAGTCAGTCGGTCATCGAGCGAAGCTCGCCCATTCCACTGTCAATCTCATGTAGAGTAAGATAAGGCGCAATAAATCGTACAAGAGTGACGTGTACAGAATCGGATATTTCCGGTTTGCCTTGGACTGGCTGATATCAGTGACATTGGAGCATCTGTGATTATATATATATTGAGTTCCAACCTGAATACGTGCATCTGTGGAGGCACCACTCAGGTTGCCGAAAAGGCTCGATTTAATGAAGGTACAACAGCTGGGGCAAGGAGGTTATTGGCCCGAAGTTTCGGAGATCCCATCATCAGTGACAGTCTCAGACAAGGATGACGAGGCATAAAAAGGTCAGTATTTATAGGATGTAGTTATCAGGCAATCACATGCCCACATTAATTAACAACACTGCGTCCATTGTTGAGGGTCGTCCTTGACTCGATAACTGTCTTTCGGTCCGTATCCAAGTCGTTACTGGCCACGATTTTATCACCGTTATCGATTATTTACGTGACAACCACTCCAGAGTTTGGTGCGCGTCGTCGGAACTGTTGGTCGTCCGCACCCTCCTTGTGAGACAAATAATTTTGCCCAGGCAAACTCGCAGCACAGAATATGGAGGCGGAGAGCCATTAGGTTTGTTTATTGAATTCGGGCCGGGGAACCATGACTTCAGCAGATTGCATCTCACGCGGTATCACCTCTCATGAGACTTGTCGTCTTGTTAAAGTTGTAAGTGTGACCGGGTCCTGCGGAATAGGTCGTGAGTTGGGAGTTAGCGCCATTCCTCCTCACCGCCGCTGCATGATCGGTCATTCAGCATCTTCCATGTAGTTACAGTAAGTGGGCTAACTCATGAAATGTCAACAGAAATCCCGAAATTTGTTTCCGTTTCAAAAGATTAATTAAGCGGGGTTGTAAAATCAACTATCGTGCAGCATAATTCTATAATAATTCAGTTACCCCAGGACGTATGCTTTCGAACAAACTTCTTTCCGGCTGCATCCAAAAAACTATGCTCCGCAAAAAAATGACTACTTAAGTAACATGCATTTTTTCATTAATTTTCGATGCCCTTAAAGATACAGTTATATTTCATGGAAAACATGCATAACAATATTCATTCTTTTGCTCAGTTGGTAGATAATTATGTCTTCTTCCAATTTTACACTCGGAGGAAGAGTACCTCTTGGGTTCAGATTACAACAGCAAGGCGTCTCACACGTCAGTCAGACCCGAAGTGTTCACCTTCCTCGCATTTTTCACCTTATTTAAATTAGGTTTCCACTTTATCTGAATCGTCAATTCCAGGCATTCCCTATAAGCGACATTTACGCCTCAACTCATTTGCCCCACCCGTATAGCCCCTATTACCATCGGTCCCGTAAGTCAGGTAGCTGGGAGTTTTCGGTACCGGGAGGGCTACCAACTACCATCTAACCCTTTTACATTTCCCAAATAATTTTAAACCCGACCTGCCGTTACACTTGTATTCAGGGTTCCCTAACCACAAGCCGTATAATTTCGGCGTACGGAAATCCACACATTTATCTACCGTATTAAGAGGAAACCATGTGGGATTCACAAAACGAAGCACTGGACTTGAGCCACATTGTTAACTTTACAAGCCACGCTGGTGAGTGCAGAGGCATTACGTATTATGGAGGGCTATTTCCCGGTATTAAAAAATCTCACAACTGTAAACGTTTTAAAATCGAATTAAACCCTTCCTTCGAGTGTAAAATTGAACAATGACGTAATTTTCTACTAAATGAGCAAAAGAATGAATATTTCTACCCATGTTTTCCATGAAATCTAATTGAATCTTAAAGAACATAGAAAATCAATGTGAAAAATTCATGCTACTTGGGTAGTCACTTTTTTCGGCGTATGGTTTTTTGGATGCAGCCGGAACGAATTTTGTTCGAAAGCAGACGTCCTGGGGTAACTGAATTATTATAGAATTATGCTGCATGATGATTGGTTTTGCGACCCCGCTTAATTAATCTTTTCGAAACATAAACGCATTTCGGAATTTGTGTTGACATTTCATGAGTTAGCCCACCTACTGTACTTTGTTCACAACTTCTCCAGATCTGGCAAATGACCCCAGATGTCTCCAGCCGTAGCAGTGTGTCTTCCGACCTCATGCCCTTGCCCCTGATCGTTGCCCTGGGTTCGTGTCCATCCCCAACTCTGAGTGGCATTAGAATGCGGCTGTCGGCATCTGAGACGTTCTCCGTGTATGGGGCATTCGCCAAAATTTTGAGGCCGGTTGAATTTCGTCTCTCGCAGCGTCTACACATGCATCGGCTGGAGAAGTTGCGCGGATAGAAGTTAGTTCTAAGCAAACGTCGAACATATTGTGATTGGGCAATCTTGTCTTCCGGTTTGCTGCGATACGTCTCGACACGCCGTTATAGCCCTCTTACGCAACTGCATTTGTGGCTGATTGAATGGTCTCTGTTAAAGCTCAGTACTTGCGACGTATTAGTCGGCGCATTTTATCTTAATGGAAGACATACTTAACGATGTCGATGAGCACCAAGTTCTTGATGGTTTCCCTTACCGACCGTCAGATTGGCCGATGACCGAATTTGTTGGCCATCGAATCCATCAGCTGTTAACAGTTCTTTAAGTTAGCACTCGGAACTGTCTTTTCCGAGAAATTCTTGCCATTTTTGTCTCTCTGTGCCGTCTTCGGTGGCTTATCCGAAAGAAGGACTTCACTGTAGAATTTAATGGTCTTCCTGAATGAGGATCTGTGATCAGTATACCCTTCAGCAAATAAAACATCCTCTTCAAGCAGTTGCCTAATTAAATGTTATTATCGTCGTCATTGCATTGGGGGCCAACACGGGAGCTAAATCGGATTTTTGTAGATATTATTGGTAATGCTCTGGCTGAAAAAGTTTAGCAGTGAAGTGTAATGACACGCCCAGGTGCATGCTCACGCCGCGCAAGCTGGGATTCCAGCGGCCCTTTTTTTTCTTGGTGCTAAATCCTGACCAGTGTACGCTGTGGACCAGGTGGTACAACTTGGCGTGGGTCTTCGCCGTGCCAGTCACCTGCGGCCTTCTTAACTCTGTCTTGACACTGGATCCAGGAGGAGGAGGAGGAGGAGGAGGAGGGGCGGAGGAGGACGCAGTAGATACAGCGCAAGTCTACTATCACTTTGAAATAACTCGCGTGTAATCTACCTTCCCTGCGCTTACTCTGTTAGGGAGCACCAGTACACCTTGCGGGTATCGATTATTTCGCCGATGGCCTCCGAAAACCAATCAAAAATTCGCGAAGGCAATTATCGCACACCCACACGCCGTACCATTCTCAATTTTCCCATGTCCTTTTCCCAGTGCGATTTTTAAGAGTCACTTCTAAGCTAACCTCCTCCGCCAGGAGGGGACTAAAGTTCTCGCTGTCCCAGTGATGAATGCGCTTCGATTTACAACTAACCCTGTCCTATTCTTTGTGCTCAAAGGATTTTATTCCCCCCTCCCACCCCACCCCTCTTCCCACCGTTTGATCGATGGAAATTCAAAAAGGTCCTACGTGAAGGTCACTCCCTTTGTTGCTTTTGCCTTCTCAAGCACACGTTAACTGCCATTTCAAAAGATCAGGGAGATTCCGTCTTCAAACGGGGAAAGTGTTGGAAACGGCGGCTAGGCTGTATCAACTGTCCCAGTCTCCGCCAGCCTAATTTTTTACAAAAAAGTGTACAGGCTTTTTTATAGTACTTTTGTCCAAAGGTCGGAACAGAAATTACGAATTACAGCAACTGGCCTTTCTCGTGAAACGTTAGCCGAGATTGTGAAATGTTCCTCAGGTTGAAAAGAATTACTTAAGCGCAGTTGGAATATTGATTTTCCTGTGGTATGATCTCAAAATACTTCAGTTACGCCAGGATTCCAGCCTTTGAATGCACTCCATTTCGGCCGCCTACAAAAAGCACACTCGACCAAAGTAGCTACTCAAGTAGCAGGAATCGTTCAAGTTAAATTTCGATGCCCTTACAAATTTGGGTGTATTTTACAAAAAAGCATGCGCAAAAATTATTCTAATCATTTCGCAGATAAGTATGCTTTTCTTAAATATTGTACATGAGAAAATGTGCTGTCCGTTTTGAAGAAGTTTCAATTTTCGAACAATTTTTAAGTATGGTCTTTCAGTTATTTTCGCACTTGGGTTTACAATCCGCATGCAGCGCACTGTTCGTGTAAGGTGAATTATATACTTCTTTAGACTATTAAGGAGATGTCTTAGAGGTCTCATAAACTTTCAAGTGCGTGTGATGCAAGTTGTACACTTAATGAACAGCATTAATAAACGTACAGACACGATTCTATATGGGTGAGTACTTATTGGTTCTAAAAAATCTTATAATTACAACTATAATTCAACTATCCTTTTTGCATAGGACTTAATTTACTTCCAAATGAGTACAAAAAAATAAATATTTTGGTTAAGTCTCCTATGAAATGCATTTTAATTTGTAAGGGCAGCTAAGATCAAGTGGAAAAATTATACCATATAACCAGTCATTTTGCCAGATGCGGCTTTTGCAGACAGCCAGGAAAAAGCTCATTCCAAAGCCGGATTATGTTTTGCGATATGCCGCATTACAACCCCACTTAGGTAATTCTTTCTAACCGAAAAGGCACTTCAAAATTTCGGCTAACGCTCCATGAGATAGGCCAGCTGCTGTAAGTGTATTGAAGCTTCAGCAAGTACACTTGGCGCAGTCAACCGCTTCAGCAGAGCGTGGCTAGCACGGAAATCGAATGGGCAGAAACCGTGAGCTCTCAGAAGGCATCGGGCTGGCCAGCCTCGAGATTTCGTGCCAGAGTGCCCTGCCAACTGAGGTATGGAAAACACACCAGTCTAGTGAGCGAGTAGGTTCATTATTCGTGTCAAACAAAGTGGGGAATATGGAATATTCGCATAGATGGTGAGTGTCCCCTCCTCCGTTCACTCGGCAGAACGACAGGGACGAAATCTAGAGGTTGCCAGTTCACTGACGTCGAAGAATATAATGTTTTAGTCAATTTCCATGCGCTGTCGTAGGCACCGTCTGAATATCTTACACATTAATTAAAAAGGGATCCTTGGTAAAATTGTGCAGCTTAATTCACCATTCAATATCGCAAAAGTTAACAGTCTTGGTGGAATTTGCCTTTACGATGAAAAGGACGAGGTCTGAGAACAGCCAGTGCTCTAATCATCTTAGTTACAGCTGTCCGGACCAAGTGCTTGGAATTCTTAAAATTTGGCCGAAGTTACCCGCCCAACGTGTGAAATCCCAAATCTGATACAGCAGGCTGAGTGCCGATGCAGGATTTCCTGATTAAAGGAGCTGGGAAATCAAGTGGTGATTGCTAGATTGATTGCATAAGAAAACTGACCCGCGCAGTCAGCTTGCTGTTTCACAATTAGTGGATTCCATACGCTGTCGTAGATTTGTGGCAGTCAAGTATGTGAGATCAACTTAATCCACGCACAATAAGTTCGTTTCGTCCACTTTCCGCAGTCAGGGGGCTGTGTGGAATAGTTCATTCTCTACACAGGGCAAGTTGCCGTAAGTTAGATGTTTGCTTGTGACAGAGATAAGCGTCCGTTCACGGAGAACGCCAGTCGCGGTGTGTGTAGTTTACGCGGGAGTGAATGTCTGTGTCAGTGGGTGGGGGTGACTGGCTGAGTGCTGTTCATGGAATTGAACGGATTAGGGGGACGCATAATCACAGGGGCTCATGGGTATCAAGCCCGGTCGCCCGATGCGCGTGGGGTGATAATAGTTTGTGAGGGCAGCCGGGAGTCACTGCAGCTAGACAGGATGGACCCCAGTTCTAGCCGGTGGAGGTGGCCGTATTTCAATGGCTTGCCAATGGTTGTCGCGACCATTGGCCGACAAGACGGAGACGGAGAAAAGGGAAACTGGAGCGGTTGCTACAGACTGAGCGGCTAATTTGACCCAACTGTGATGAAACTCATGGATATCTGTTGGGGCTATACTCATTCCTTGCTTTTGCTCCTCGGGGTTCGAACCCCACCGAGGCTGCTGAGATTTCATAATTGGGCGAGAGTGAGACTTGCGACATTGACTGCAGTTGAGTCAAGTTGCTCGCCGAGAACATCGCAACGCACGGAACCCACATAATCTAATTCAATTAACCTAGAATTCCCTACGGCTTACTGTGGAGGTCTGGTAGCTCAGGTGGTTAGGCATTAACCTTGCCCAAACCTCGCTCATCCTGTGGTGGATTCAAATCCCCGAGTGCGCCGGGTTTTTTTATTGTTCGGTGGTTATTTAACTTCGCTGAAATTTTACGAAAACCCCTTAATTTAAAATAGCCTATAACCGTTTGGGGATTCACAAGCTGATTAGTTGGGGGAGCACGTTTAGGCGGTTCCTCTATCGTTGCATCATTTGTTGATTTCAAATTTCGTAGTTTCTTAAGCAGCTAACGTGGCCTAAATGTGGAAAAACTCGTGCCCGTAGCTCGGAGGGTTAGAGTATGCACCGTACTCAATACCTGCAATTGCCAGGGCTGCTGCGTTACTCACTATTACACACTCATAAGCTTTCTTATTCACTGCAGTGTGTATTCTGACTGCTTTAAGTCTTAAATCCAAGAAGAAGTTCAGCAGCGAGTATCTCATTGCCTAATACAGTCAACATGCTAACAATCTGATTTACGAGGCTTCGACCGAAAGCCGGGAGTTTAGTCTCATTTGAGTCAATTCACTTGTCAAACCTATTGCAGTTTATAGAATCCATTAACTTCGATACAGTACAGTAACTATTTAAGCAAGATTTCCTGAATAGTCAGTCTAGACTTTATCAGCCTCACTTAAAAATAGATCATTTGCGCCAACTGGATTGCACAAATCAGTCAAAACACTTGGAAAATGGGACATCGTAAACTTCATGCCTCAATCCTGAGCCGGTCGCGGTGGCTTGAGAACACATGCTCTGGATGCGCTAAACTAACCCAGGGGTTAGATCGTAATCCCGCGGGTGTTCTCGGAAATACGCAACAACAACGAATGCCAACACGGGTTCACTCCGCGTTAGTTGGGATCCGTGCCGTCACCCTATTATATTGTGGTAAAAATCCTAGTCAACATTTATTGTGGACCCAAGGGGTATGATGGTACGCATGGGTGTCGGCTTTCGTCGTGACAACTACCTGCGTCCTCTTCCGCCTCCGGTCTTCTTGGATCTGTCTTGACACCGGATCCAGGTGGAAAAGTCGGAATGAGTCCAGTAGACGGAGTGCAAGTCACCGCCCCTGCTCTCACCCTTGCTGCGGAACACACGGTAGTCATCGTCAGTCTCGACGGTCGAACTGTCGAGGTGTCTTTCGGGTTGAAAGCTCGGGGACCTTAACTAACGCTTTGTTCTTGATAGCTCACCACGAGGAATAATGGATAGAGTAGGTATGAAGTGTCAACCGAAATTCCGAAATGTGTTTTCGTTTCGAAAGGATTGATTAAGTAGGGTCGTAAGACTAGCCAGTCTGCAACATAATTCTATAATATTTCATTTACCTCAGGATACCGGCTTTCGAATGAACTTTTTTCCGACTGTATGCAAAAAAATACACCATGTAGAAAATGACTACTTAAGTAGCATGAAATCTTCTCATTCATTTTCGATGCCCCTAAAAGTTTAATTATTTTTAATAAAAAAAACGTGAATAAGAATATTCATTCCTTCGCTCAGTCTGTAGACAATTACGTCTTCTTTTAATTTCATACTCGATAGAGGGACATAATTCGGTTTTGAAAATTTTCGAATTGTGGGAATTTTAAATACCTTGAAATGGCCGTTCATAAATCGTCATGTCTCTGCATTTACCAATGTGGCTTGTAAAGTTAACAATATGCATCCAATCCACGGCTAAATTTCATGAAACCTAGTTAGTCCCCCTTTATGTGTGGTTTTCCGTACGCGGAAAATATGCGACTTGTAGTTCGGAAACCCTGAATTCAGGTGCAAAGGTAGAGCGGGTTCAAAATTAGTCGAGGATTTGAAAAGTTTTTGAAAGCAGAATTACACCCTTCCTTCGAGTAAGAGTTTTGAAGAAAACGTAATTTTCTACCGAATGAGCTAAAGAATGTATATTTTATATATTTTTCCATGAAAAATAAATGAACATTTAGGGGCATTTAAAATAAATGAGAAAAATGCATGCTGCTTAGATAGTCATTCCTTACAGAGTGTTGTTTTTGCATTCAGCCGGAAGGAAGTTCATTCGAAAGCCGGCATCCTGATGTAACTGAAATATTATAAAATTATGTTACAGACTGACTAGTTTTACAACCCTATTTCATTAATCTTTTCGAAACGGAAACGCATTTCGGAATTTCGGTTGACATTTTATGAGTGAGCCCATTTACTGTACGTACAGCGCGAAATCCCCTGCAGCTAAAGATAGTCAAACTGCCAATAGAAGCGAAGAGATTAGCAGGAAGTCGAAATGTTGGCGAATAAAGCTCTTGTCCTAGCGACCGTTCCTCCTTCTTCACGATCGCCAAACTGCCCACAATCTCACTTTGATCTGCCAACACAGTCATTACCTTGGTGTGAACCAACACTTCGAGTTGCAATATGACGCCTGTTTCCCTTGGAAAGAAATTCCTTTCGCTCAAACGATGACTAAATTTTATGTTTGTCATCAGGTCCTAGTTCCGAAGCAGTAAAAGCTGCGTCACCAAACCTTAGTTGGTTTCGCACATGTTGTACCTTGGACGGTTTGGTCACCTCTTCCAGCGGGTCATGGAAAGTCATAAAAAGACATTTACAGTCAGACGAGTTAGGCCTTGGGACCCACCCAAATCCTCGTTCAGTGGATTCAAGTACGTGCATGGGTATCAGGTCCGCCATCGCAGACAAAATCAACCTGGCAACGTTTTAGCAAAATATGATAGTCTTCTAGTTGAGGACAAAGAGACGCGTTCGCCGAAACAGAGGCGTTTATTCGCAAGGCGTTTCAGATTTTCACTCGAACCCGGCACCATCATGGAGCGCGCAGATCAACACGGCTTCTAGGGACAGTATCAGACGGTCAAAGCCTATGACCGTTCTTTTTACTGTACGACAGAGCATGCCACATCATCGGTGGTGTTCCTGTTCTGGTCCCGCGGGGGGGGAGGGGGCAAACACATGCGCTTTGGCCTGCAAGCATCGTTAATTACCCAGTCCACATACAGTTCGTGACCTATCTGATGAAAGGTCACGGACTGGGAACTTAAATCGCTGTAGCACATGAAACGCCCACCCCGCATCCAGGAAAGTTATACTGCGTTAAAGATACGACCGAGTTTCAAAATAAGGCACACTTTGATTTATAACGTATTATTTATTGACTAGGAAATAATCTATTTTACAAAAAACTGCCAAATCAAAAAACGACTCTATGACAGGTCAACTATTCAAGACCTAAAATAACTGCCAGCAGAGAAGAAAAACGTCATAAAACGCAAAAATGATAGAACAAATAGTAAAAAATACAACTTGTCAGTACTTTGTCGACTGTCCTTTACCGTTTAAAGCTGCTGTAAGGCGGGAGGACGTGGAGACTACCAAGTTGTCTAAGATGGTTTGGTCTATGTAATTTGTAAGCAAAAATTCCAACTTTTGTTCCATAGAAAGATGTTTTCTTGCCTTGTCCCAATTTCTCTTGATTAGTGAAAAAAGATTTTTGATGGGATTTAGGTCCGGGCTATTGACGAGAATAAAAATTCTTTGAAGGCTTCAGGCGGAGAGACTGGCTGTGGTATATAATATTAGATTATAGTCGTAAGCTGAATTGAATTCATATCTCCTTTGAGCGGCGGACGGGGGCAGTATCCTGGAATATTACGGTGTACCTTCGACATCGATAAACGCCGCTGTAACCGAAGGCACCCTTTACGATGTCGATGAACACCTTGCTATTTATCGTCTCCGCTGTTGAACGCCAGACCGGTCGCTCTCCGAATTTGATGGCCATCCAAACCATCAGGCGTCGACAGTTCTTGGATGCTGGTGTCGATATAGTGTGCTCTCGTGGAAAGTGCTCCCCACATATGACCACTCGAGCCGACTTCGGTGGCTTGTCTAAAAATAAGACCTCATCAAAAAACCAAATGCTTTTCTAGAAGGAAAGTCTGCGATCGATATATTTTTGAGCAAAAATACGCTCTCTAATAAGTTTTCTACTAAAAGTGGCTTTGTCATGACGTTTTTCTGATGGAGACTGAACTCTTTCACTCTTTTTCTAATTATTCGCAAAGAAAACATGGACAGATGTTCTCTGTAAATAGCCTTAAGGGGCATATAATGATACTTTTTACTGTCCGACGAATGAAATCGTCGTCTTGTTCGCTTGTGGACAGTTTTGGCCCACTTTGCTTAGTTCCAGTCATTGTTTTATTATTAATAATTCTCCAAAAAGTGATCTGGCTAATGTTGAAAATACGAGATACTTATTAGAATAGGAAATTAAGTGGATATCAGGAGACGTCAAAATTTGCCTAATTTTGGTCCGTTTCTCCTCAATAAAACGGAACTAACATGACCTCTTCATTGGGAAAGGGCATTTCGGGATTCCAAACAATTCTAAAAACAAGAATAACCGCACAAATTATATGCCATCCCACCAACTCAAATACCGATCTTGACATTTCCTGAATTGGGTCATCTACTGCAAATTCAAGCTTGGTGCAATGAGTCTGGACTCGTTTTATGAGTACTCTCATACAGCCTCGTTCGTAAGCCATTGGATGGTCGCTGTGAAAGCTTGAAAACTGTAGGGTGCTCGTTATCCTCCTGTAAACCGTTGTCTCTGTTTCACCGTCAGGACTTCACTTGTCGAGCTCCTTGCGTTCCCCCCTCGTGGAGCGGATATGTGAAAGGATTGAATCGAGTACTTTATGGACATTCTGCAGCATGTTATTCCTGACGCTAACAAACGCGTCTTCAACGCAACGGCGTCAAAAGATCGGCGCCTGTTGGACAAAGAAGTCTTTTCAAACTCATATGGGTCCGTTCTGTCACTGAATCGGAGAGCGGGGAAGCCTACTGCGGAGGAGCAGGCAATCACCGCAGCAAGTACGACCATTGAATGTAACTGCAGAATACGCCACTTATGATAGCTGTGTAGTTGCGTGGTAACTTCATTCTATGAATACTGCACCCTTTTGTGCGAGCGTGACCCTTAATGATGACTGTATGTCGCGTGAATAAAGTCTTGTCTCAGTAATCACATCTCCCCCTACCCGTGGACGGTGATCGCGTCTCCTGCTCCCTTAGGTTCAGATCTGCCACCAAAGTGGGAATTAGGGGAACCTATGGGAATTCCCCTGATCTGCTCATAGGTCTCTCCTGCAAAGGTGAAGTACTATTTGGCAAAATTCGAACAACCTCATGAGATGCTAAATTTTGATCAGGCTCCGAGTTTCGTCGCATTTATCCTCAAAATTCCTGCAGAAATCTACATACTCCGATTTCGGCGGAAGGCATATGAATGATGACGACACGGCGTAAAAGACCATGCTCTCGCCTGATTGAATAATCCCACCTGACAGGTCTACAGGGAATTGGGGCTGAGATTGTCAAATTATCCTGCACGAACTTCAGCTTTCAGCAGGTTAATTTCGCCAGATTATAGCTGGGGCCTAGGACACGGATGAGAGGTCGATTAATCGACGCATCGACCTAACACCAGCATACAAACCCCTATCGCCGATCGTTGATTGACTGGTATCCCCTATAACTATTGCTTGAGGTGTTGCCGCACCTATCTCTGACGGTGAACACCTGCGTGTGTTTGAAAGTTCAGACGAATGGACAAATGATCCCGGTGCTCGGCCGGCCCTTCTTCTTCATCTTCTTCTTCTTTCTATACTTCCTCTCCCTCTTTCTCCTTACTCATGCACACACATGGAATCAGAACATCGGAAATCATTCTTGTCCCAGTGAATACATCTCCCTCTTTTTATCAAAGTATTGTGAACAGCAAGCACTCATTAGGAGCGAATTAATTGTGGCTCACGCGCTCCACAAAAAGAACCTCCACCATCCTGCTGTCATATTGATCACGCACACACACAGGCGTATAGTTCTCATATTTTTTTAATCTTTCAACATTGCACAGCCATGATTTCTCCGATGGTATTTGCTTTTCGCAATCGCGGCAAACATACACTGACGTTCCATAATTAAACCGCTTTCGGATTTATGCTGACGCAAGAAACCAAAACCTTAAATGGATAAGGTCGAAAGATTCCTTTCTACCTTCAAAATGTCCAAAAGTGTTCCTTGCAAAGACAAAGGACAACCCAAAACCCGTCGTAAAGTGGACTTCATGATTGCTGCATTGCTGTACACCATCATGTTATGTCAGTAAGTTTGAAATTAGCTAACTGTTGACAAAAGAAAGCTGGTTTAAGCCCAAAAACTGCGTAAAGGCTAATCCCCACTCGGCCAAGAAGCGCGCAGTTTCCTCATGGTATGCGATCTTCCGGTAAATAGAGGAGATGGCACATAAGATGGGGGAATGCGTGTCAAAGCCCTTTCTTGGGGAGAGCGGTTGCTCCATTTTTTACTCCTGCCGCCCCCACCCACCGCCCCCCGCTGCCGTTGGGATAACCACAGACCTTGAAAGGTGTGCTGCAAGTACTTTGAGCAACAGTACAAGCCTTAATTACACGACCAGTGCTCTCAAACAGTCCATAATGTCTGGCCATCCGTCCGACCCTGCAGTCCCCAGCCAAGTGCACACGCATTCCCAACTGGCCGCGGCTCTGAGTTTCGAGGGAAGAAAACACCCCTCACGACTCCTGCCAAGTACACACTATCGGAGGGTCGCTTTGAACTCATTGGTTACCGTGTTCTCGCCCTCCAATTGTCTTTTCTTCAGCCTTTTAATAATTAAAGTAATTCCGTCCATACTCGACACTCACAGAGGGTCGTCCGATCCACTTGGTTAGATTTTTACAGTCAGAGCACGGAGCATCCGTCCCACGAACTCACTTTGGGCTGATGGGTGGCGGGGGGGAGGGGTCATAAAAAGAGAAGGGAAACCGCTGCTTATGAATAAAAACTGTCATCTACTAATATGGCAAACACGTTTATTTAGTAGGCTCGGAGGAGCATATTCGGGGGACTGAGAACTCGAGGAAACTTCGCAAATTCAGCAACCTAAAATTTGCACAAATTTAGATCGTGCAGGTGGAATGGGGAATGTCACGTCTCCTAGCATCAATTTTCTAATGTTTACAGTCGAACAACCGGAAATCTGTGAGGTCTGTGGTAGCAAGTTCTAGTGTCTTGTGTCCGAATGACGTGTGGTGTTGTGTCCACTGACCTGTCTAGTCTGCCCGCATTCTCGTATTCTGCGTGACAACGTTCTGCTTGAATTTTCCAGGACTGGAAACAATAAACTGTCCGCTGCAACCCTAAGGGATAGTTTTTGGTTAGATCTTCCAAGAAAAAGAAATTTCATGGTCAAATTCCCGGAGCGGTACGTAGAACACTTGCTTTGGCTGGTTGTCAATCCACATTGATACAAAGACATGCGCTGGATTCCACTTCACTGGAAACGACCAAATCGGGATCGTATATTCCGTCAAAGCTCTATTTTGTAGAAAACGTGCACAATAATATGTTTGTTTTTAATCTTTTTGTAGAAAGACACATTGTCTTAACATTTTATACCCGAACAAAGTGTATATTTTGGTTTTGGAAAGTTACTAATTGTGAGATTTTTAAGATCGTGTGATGTTCATACATACAACATCGCACGTGTGCGTTTACCAGTGCTACTCATGAGATATAAAATACAGTCCGGATCCATTGCATGATTTTATGGACTCTATACAGAATCTTTTTATAGGCATAGAGGAATACGTGAGCTTCCTTTGTAGACTGAAATCCCCGAACGCTGCTGCAACGGCAGGTCAGCCTTGAAATTATTCGGGAATTGGAAAACTTTTTTAAATCTATGTATACTTTCTTTCGGTTATAACATGTGGAAAACGTGTTTTTCCACCAAATGTGTAAAATAAACCACCTTTTTTATGTTTTCTGAAAACATATTTAGATTTACTAGAGTATCAAATATCAATGCGAATAATGCATGTTAAGTAAGTTGTCATTTTTACCGGGTGTGGTTTCTACAGGAGATCGAAAAGAAATGCGTTCAAAAGCTGATATCCTGACGGTTCCGAAATATTATAGGATTATGCTGTATGCCTATCAATAGTACAACTGCACCTAGGTAATCCTTCCTAATCGAAAACGCATTTCAGAATTTCGGTCAAAATTTCATGAGATCAGTCACGCACTGTAATTGAAAAATACCGATTTAGCCATCCTTTATTCATTTAAAGCTGTGATGAAAAATTATCGCCTGACTCTTACAATGTACTGATTTTAAAGCAGAGATTGACATGTTTACTGGTAGCAGACCATTCGTGTGTGATCGGTGATTACTAATTGTGAAAGATAGGTCTGTGCCGAGGTCATGCAGTAAGTTGTTGGCATTTGAAGCAGGCTAGTCAGGTTTTCATCGGCTAACCATCGGTTATTCGGCCAAAGTATCCCCAGTAGGCAGACTATCCTCACATAATTCCATGTGGATTGATCAGGAACTTTCAAACTTCCCTGGTTAAGGACTTTTTACGTGTTTTGCAAACGTCTCATATCCTACTATGCAGTCTTAGTAATTTTCGTCTGCAATCGCACGCACTTTTATTTAATAGAAATTAACTTGCCACGAAGCTGGCGGGAGATGTGATGGCCGTCAGCACACACTCTCTCACACACAGCTCGTGTACGGCAATAGACGCATTTTGCTTGATGCGAGGCTAAGAAAACAACAGAACATCAAGCTGGCCACCAGTAGACAGTATCTTGCTGTGACATTGTTTTTTTCCCACAGGCATGCCTGTACTCTCCCCTAAACGGTTTACTGCTAAGCTGATGCCCTGTCGCCTCGCGAAACAGTAGATGACATTCGAGTAAGAGATACTCAACGTTCCGCAATCCCCTCTCGCTGTTGCGCAGCTCTTGTTAACGTTAAGGAGCACTAAACGCATCAACATCTTGCAGGGTTTGCAGGCATAACAACCCGTCCATGCTGCGGAAGGAAAAAGGCAAGGGGTGATTGACATAGATGCATGCGCTTATTGTTCTTTCAGTCTGAATACAAAAGGTAGAGATAAACGGATGCCATTAAGTAAGCTCTGGCAAATTCGGTTACATCATAGCTAACTGACGACGGCAAAAAGTCGAAAAGGAGTCTCTCGTTGTTACTGGCTGTAAAATTCCTCAATTGCTGATTGTTGGATGACTGTCTTCAATGAGCATTCGTTCAAGACCGTTTCTCAAGGCCGTGAAAATAACGTCAGACGATTGACCAAGAGAGGGTAAGGTGCTGAGGGTTCAAAAACTGCTTAAGCAGAGGGTGGCCAAACAAACCGCGAACAGAGAACGACACGCAAAGCAGCACTAGAGAACAAATTGCGTAAACTGCCTCCTCCAACGTCATCCAAGAACGACAAACTGAGGCACAACGGGTAGTCAAAAGAGCTGACGGAGAAGCAAATGCATTTGTTAAGTTATGAGGCCTCATTTAACACAGCCGATGTTTAACCTGCCCACATCACTGCAGCAGTGGAGGCAATCCTCAACCAGACGGAAGCGACAGACGAAACGAAGGACTTTATCCGACACCAAGTGTCATCCTACCTCATGTCTCAGAGGCCGCACAACGTGCTTCCCAAGGTCGAGCGTGACGCACTAAAGGAACTCAGGGCCAACAACGACTTCGTTATAGCACCTGCAAACGAGAAGCGTTCCACAGTCGTAATGGACAGGACAGACTACATCCAGAAAACCAAACGCCCGTTGGAGGATCGTCAGTCCTATGCCCCCTGCGAATCCAACCCCATAAGGACGGGTTGCCCTTTAGCCCAGCTGCTGGCTACCCGGCGAATCCACAGCTGGTGGATAGCGGAACAGTCTTCAGGGAAGGTTAGCTGCGAAATAAGCAGACCCAAGTCTGACGAATAAGCAGTCGCGGACCAGCAGCGACATTGCTACCAGGGTACGGTGGGTTGAGGTTTGGCACGCTGAAAGCCTTATAAAAAGCCGCAAAGTCCCATGACGGTATTGTGACATGGCGACTGTGAACTACCATTGGATAAGTTTGCTTTCCACCGCTGCCTTGTGGTTAGGCTTCTAATCTAAAGCGCTAGAGGAGGAAACCTCGAACAAACTATCCGAGAGGCCGTCGGGGACTCGCCTGTACTCAAAATTTTCAAGAATCCTCAAGACATATGCCTGGTTACAGTACTATGACCCATGCTACGGCATCGACGTGAACCGACGCGCTCCGCAAACTCCGTCCAATGGTGCGGGCGAATAGTATGCGAGCTGGACTACTGAGTCCGGGACGGACTCTTGGTATTGTATACTGGAATGAACGAACGTTCCTGGATCCTAGTACCCAAAGTCTGACCGCGCACAGCCTTAATCAGTAAAACGTCAATGTCTGCTGTCTGTCTGATGTTTGACTTCCTGATTCAGGCTCTGGAGAAATAAAGATCCCTGGAGTCGAATCACACTTCACCCTGTACCACAGTGGCCCGCGCGACTCTTCTGGTAGACACAGTGTGACTATCGCCCTCTCGCAAAAAGGGGGCCCCGCTTTACCTGCTTGGGAACCAGTCAGTCATCGGATGGCCTACGTGCGACTGAAGGGTCACTTCACGAACATCTTCATTGTTTCTGTGTACGCGCCTAATTCAGCTGCCAAAAAGCGCGATAATGAGGCGTTTTACTCGCAGATGCAAGCGTTAGTTGAAAGACTGTCTCGCCGGGATCTGCTGATTGTCGTTGGAGATTGAAATGGTCAGACTGGACCTGGCGACTCAACAAACATCTTTATGCCCGCTTCGGGATTGGTTGCCAATGTGAAAATGACGAGAGATTGCTGGACTTCACTGATCAGAACCGACCGCTTGTCGCCAACACGTGTTTCCAACATCGCAACAAACACCTCCTGATCTGGTATTCAAACGACGGTCATACGGCCAGTCAAACTGACTGCATACAAGTCAGCTCAAGGTTCCACAGTTGGGTTCGCAATAGCAGACCGATGTGTGGTGTCGAGACTGGTAACGCCCATTGGTCGGACCAAGTCCTCGTTCGTACACGCTTGAAAGTTTACCTCTCATCCGCGCCATAAATGCCGCGTCCTAGACGCCTCGATGTCTCCAAAATCCGGCAAACCAGCACTGTCGGGGCCCTAAGCAGAGAAATCCGGACCTGTTTTACGACCTCAGCCGACGGGGAAGACAGTAACCAATGGTCGTCACTGAAAACGTCAACCTATGGGGCAGCTGAGAAAATCCATGTATAAACCTAGCGACGCCGCAGTGACTGGATCAGCAGAATCCTGCAGTTGTCTGCTCAGACGGCTCGAGCCAGGTCCCGTAATGATGACCCCTTTCGCTAACTTCTAAAGATGATGGCAAACTCAGCCAGGGATGACCGGAAGAAATATTTGGCTGAAATAGCAATCTCCATGGAACAGGTCTCGAAAGTTGATGACGCTTGAAAACTATCAATTTATCCGCCAACTTAGTGGTAAACCCCCTACTCTGAGTAACTCTGTTCGTGACGTGAATGCGACTTTATTGGTGACAACTCGGCCAAAGTCGAGCGCTGGCGTGAGCACTTCGAGCACCATCTCGATTTCTATACCCGAACTACCACGCTCTTGCTCTCCTCCTCAGCGGAGTTTCTTCCCTCTCCAATCTATATGGTACCATGCGACCCCCTTCTGAAGAAGTCGTCGATAGCATACGAAAGCTATGCAACAATAGGACGAGATTGTTACTGATGTGTGGGGTTCAGGCATCCTGGTAACTATCCTCAAGAAGGGAAACAAAATAGGATGCGAGAACTAGCGCGGCATAAGCCCCATCGACACTGCTGCGAAGATCTTCGCTATTGTCCTACTCAGACGATTCCAGGCTGTGCGTGACTCAAGGACGAGGCCCAACCAAGCCGGATTTCGTGCTGGACGTGGATGCGCAGACCATATATTCACTCTGAGGCGCATTTTCGAATTCCGCCATAGTTGCCAGTAACCAACGGCCCTCTACTTTGTTGACTTTGCCACCGCGTTCGATTCCAATCCATCGTGATTCCATGTGGCGGATAATGGCGCTAGATGGTGCACCGCCAAAAATCATCGCCATGATCAAGGTCTGTTATCGCTCCACCAAGACGCGAGCTCTGGTCCGCATCAATCTTTCCCAAGCGTTTGGTATTCGATCTGGCGTTCGACGGGGTTGTATCCTGTCACCCATTCTGCTCAACTATGCTATTGACTGGATCCTCGGGAGGGATCTACACAAAGGTAGCAGTGTCAAGTTGGCCCTCGAACACCGACCGATTGATTCCGACTATACCGATGATATTGCCTTACTTGCTTCAAGTTTTGGTGATCTGCAGTCCATGGTGTCGTGGGTGAACGAGGTTGCTAAATCGACCGGTTCATCCATAAACGCTGGGAAGACTAAAGTGTTTTCTCGCTGCATCCCTGACCAGGAGAAGTCACCTCTCGGGATTCGAGACCGCCAACTTGGAGAAAAAGACAGTTTTAAATACCTCGGGGCGAGGCTGCTGCCGAATGGCTGGAGTAAGGACGACATTGTCTCCCGAATTGATGCAGCCCGACGGGGTTTTCTCAAGCCTTCGGAAATGCCTATTGATCTGACGCAACCTCTTCATGGCCACTAGGATCTGCGTGTACCGTATGTCTGCCCGGTTTGCCCTTCTTTATGCTTGTGAATGCTAGGCTGTGTGCGTGGAGGACGAGCGAAAACTAGAGGTATCTGATCACCACTGCTTGAGGACTATCCTTCAAGTGAATTACACCGACTTCGTCTAAACTGAGGCATTCCAATGCCGGGAGTACGGTCTAATAACTTTCCCAAATATAAGTGTTTCGAGAGAAATTAGTACTTTGCGAAAAATACTATTTGCTTCGTAACTTTTTGACTTTCGTTTCCCAAGCCGTCCTCAGACGTGAAGCAAGAGTGCAATACAGTCAAAATTTAAAAGTACCTAAAAATTGATATTGCTTTGTCTGCCAATGGGCCTTTAATGTGTGCTAACACCACGTTCCGATTGGCTAATGTCTTTTCCGCTCTTTCTTGAGATTGTTTTACAAGGCGACTAATTCGATGCGTCCATTGATGCAAGGATTTTCAGAATGAATGGCCTCTTAAAATTCGCGAGACCTTTCTTATATGACCAGTCACCCATAATGCGGGTCTTGCCTCACACAAATTTATGTCTAGTTTCCAGCGTATGCATGACAACCTTGACACAACCTTGTCGCGCCCTTTCACTGCCAACTGATGTTCGTGTATGCGTGTAAAGGCAGATTTCCCAGTTTAACCACAGTAAGCCACATTAAAGGTGTCGCAGGCTATCTTACAGGCGGCTTCCTTCTCATCTAGATAGCCGACCCTATCTTTAGGGTGTGCAAGCTGGTTACAAAGAGTAGTCTTCGGTTTGTGAGCCATGCGTATTTGGTATTTCCTCAGGTGCCTTTCAACTAATTCGGGCACATTCTTAATGTATGGAAGTGTTCGCCAGCTTTTTGGGTTTGGCTTGTCCCGTTTTGTGCTTTTGTCCCAATCTAGACTCTCATTGGCAGTTCTACAGCGACTAGTAATACAGGCAGCAGGAGATTACCGACAAAGACAGGGGAGTCAGCATGGCAATGCCTGGCTTATTGGTTTATGCCACCCGGTTTTTTCTAAATCCAGCTTTGTGAAGTTTGAGTCTCAAACCCGCGTTTGTTCCTAATCGACCGTTAATAAATAAAACGTTCTAGCTATCGAGCTACCAACTCCTAGTGCTATCGGCTGTGCCGGGAATATTTACTATCTCTGTATATTCTTCTAATATATATGCGACTTCCGACGAGTCCCATAGTGTCGCCGGATGAGCGTTTACCATAATCTGATCGGTAAACGCCGCTTTACCGCATATAATATTCCGGATCGCAACCGAGATGGCAACTATCCTCTGGCCAATGGTTAGAACTTTGGACTTACTAAAACTCGCTTGTCGGAAGAACGCGGGTTTAATCGTCAACTCTGGAGCCGACTGACGACGGCCAGTAAACTCCCCTGTTCCCGCCGGTTATCTCTTTCTGTCTACTAGTCGCTGAGCGGCTACCTGTGGAGCTTTAGATTTAGCCCTAAAGCGCAAAGGGACGAGCGTGCCCTAAAATCCGCCTGGTAAATGCAATTTTGACATACGTATATATACATAAATATGCATACGCACTGGAGGATGTGCATCCCAAGAAACATGAGTCCTTTGGGGAATTTGACAAAGCTCAGTATGCAGAATGGAATTACCGACAAAGCTCAGTATCCCAAAGGACTCATTTTTCTTCGAAATACATAAATATATCCCCTAAGGAAGGCGACATCATGACTGATCTGTCTTATTCTTCGTTTTCTTCGGGGAATGATAAACACAACAAGATATCTGGGCTTCGAATCTTCGCGTGCATGTATATACAATTATCGCATTCATCATCTTCCGAAGAAGAGAGGGCGAATTCATGGACCATATTGTATTCGAACTGACGTTTCGGATACTTCCTCGGTTCCATCATCAGAGTAGCGTAATTGTTGCACTTACCGGTCTTGAGTTGTTCAGTCTTGCCGCTTGCCTCGTATTATAGTCGCGCTGGACGCACGAACTTTGACCTGCCTGTTTGCCGCTGACTGGCTTAGACCTCCCCGGAGCTGACCGCTGACAGTGTGTATGAACACGTTGAAAGAGAGTTCTGACACAACTGCGTTTATGACCAACAGGGTGGTTGCTTCGGAAGTGGAGGATGCGCCTAGTATTTGTTGCCTTACGTACTGGAAAATGGGCGTCCCAAGAAACATAATACAAAGAAAAATGAGTCCATTGGGGAATTTGACAAAACTCAATATCTCAAAGGACTCATTTTTCTTAGAAATACATAAATATATCCCCCAAGGAAGGCGACATCATGACTGATCTGTCTTATTCTTCGTTTTCTTTGGGCGATGATAAACACAATAAGAGATCTGGGCTTCGAATCTTCACATGCATATATATACATATATATAATGACAGATGGGCGCTCACCGATCAAGTTGCGGGACGTGCTCCTTTCTTTGTGCCTTGGGGCTCATGCCACAACCCCTGCAGGCAGTCACACAGCAACAAGTAGTAGATGCAAATGAGATTTTACCGACAAAGACAAGGGTGACCGGAATGGTCATTTCCGGCTTATAAGTCCTCATCAGCCAGTCATACCCAACCCAAAGCGTGGATCAGTGGTAGAGTGTCAAACGCCATGACCAGAGATCCTGGGTTCGAATTCCAAGTGATCCACACCTGGGGTTGGGTGTGACCGGTTGATGACGGCTAATAAGCCAGAAATTGCCATTTCCGTCTCCCTCGTCCTCGTCGGCACTATTTCATTTATATATATGTGTGTTTTTGGTAGAGGAGTCATCCCAGTCCCGCCTTTCTTTGTCGATAATACTATTTGGAATATATATATGTATCTGTTTCGCTGATACATTTCTCCCCCTTAGCTTGAAACTCTAAGCCTTGTCAACGTAAGAGCTTATAACTATCCTCACTGTCGCCCTTTGTTCAATTAACCAGTTTTGCTCCGTGTCTTAATCTTCACTCGCAAACTGCTTTCGTCCGAAACAGATCTCAAAACGCTCTTTCTCTGGTGTCCACCAATTCGAACGAATGCGCTCATTTGGTTGGTTTAAGATCTGGGCTAACGAAGCCTGCTTGGTGAGCGCGGTTCCTCTCAGTATCCGAGTTTATCCCGTTTCAGGTTAACGGCGCCATACAGAGCGGTTGAGCGGAAGTCCACTGATGGCCGGAAATCACGTAGCTCATGGGTGGTCGGCGTTATTCGTGCAGCTGAAGGGTTTGGCCGATGTGGCCACCAACATCGGCAACACAAGTTCCAGACCCCCTCCATCAGGCAACCTTCACACGGCACTTTCTCTCTCCGCTCCAGCACGCACGCACCCACTCACGCTCACATTATTTGATCTCGCTCATTCAGACTTTATTCAGTCCTTTTCGCTGTGTAAAACAATCAGTTTGCGAAATGTTGTTTTCTTATATCGTGCTGGGAAGCGATGAAACGCCCGCCCCCCTCCACCCTCTCCGAAGTAGGCTGTGCCCGGTGTATCGAAAAATGAGTCCGAATTCGACCTGTTCGTATTGTTTTTATTGACAAAATTCGTATCGATTCCTCGTGAAGGCGGATAAATCATCAGCCACCGCAAGGCGATTAGACAAATTATATTTTTGCACATAACTTCAGTCCAGAGTGATGAAATGTAATTGATTAACTCCCTTCTCGGCCGTATCTGTCAACCCTCCCCCTCCCAATAAAGAAAGGAGGCAGTATCTTAACGGGAGGTCAGCGAATATGTATAGGCGTCGAGGGGATATGAAGTTGAACCGAATTGCAAGAGAACTCGCCAAGATCGGGAAATTTACAGAATATTCGTCCACCAAATCAGGTCAAGGCTATTTCAGGTCATTTCAAGCAGTCCAAACATCGGAATTTACGACTTCCATTTTGTCAGTACTTGGTCGGTTGTCTAAAAAGAATAACTAACCACGCCTCAATCCATTTTGACAACTGTCTCTGGCCGTCAGCTTAGACTGTTTTATTAGAGCACGTCGCCGGACAGGGTTAAAATGCAGAAGCTAAAATAAAGAAGCATTATTTTTCCATCAAAAGGATCGTGCAAACATCAAGTCAAAGACATTTTCAAAACCTCCTTCCGAGGTTTCACTTAACATGAGACGGGAAGCCCCAGGCTCCTCGCCGGATTTCCGGACTTCTACCTGACGACATCTGGTCTCCGCTAAAAGAACACGACCTGACCTCATCATTTGGACACACATTAAACACATATCCAGAAATACAGCCCCAAACGGTCTATTTTCTCCATTTTGTCTTCTGGATATTCCGTATACGTGGGTCATCAGTTAGCCCCGACCGACATTACTTGGTACACTTATAAGTGAAATATAAATGTGGATTCGTTTGGAAAAACCAACAGTCGAAAACTAATCGCAGGTGAATTTCTGCGTGACAACTAACTGGGTTTCTGCTGCGCATTATTCCAGTTAATTCTTGGAGTCACGAGCGAACAACTTATGGCTCGAAGAGTGTGTTTTACATTTGTTTGTTATCTCCAAAAAAGCCGCAAATGTTACAGAAAAATTGCTGAAACAATCCAACTACATGTTCATTTTTAGGAAGTGTCACCTTCAGCAAGTTAACTAACAAAACGAAAAATTATACTTTAGTTTTCTAAAAAATTCGTGCTGTGCATCCTTCAGGACGCAGCCAATTATTCTCTTGTTTGGCACAGTCAATGAGTGTGACTTTAAAAATCTAAAATAGTTAACTTAAGCAAGCTGCCAAGTTGTTCAACGATAAAAAAGTGATTTTTCCTCAACTTTATGCAACTGGATAACTTCGAGAGAGAACCTTCATAACACATTTCTGATTGCTGTGTCTCCTCGAAAACACTTGAAAATAGACTTACAACCTTTTGGTCATTTTTAATCGGCTTATGTGTCCCAAACTTTTAAAAAAAACAAATCGCTCTGGTAGCTGTTTAGAACGCTCCTACCATGCGAACTCTTTTCGGTGGGAAGAGCGCTTTCGCGGCATGACCTCCGAT